TCTTGTCTATGACTTTTCTACCATTGGAAAGATTTACCTATCTTTTGCTCAATAATTCAGTTTCTGCATCTAAGCATTCTGTTCTTTTTTCCCACCTTTATTTGCAGATGATGTGGAAACCTGCATATGACTTTCTCTACACATGGGGTGCCCATTATGGAGACAGTTACAGGGATGTCTTACAAGACCTGCAATCAGCCTTGGATAAAATGAAAAACCCAGTAACAAAACATTGGCGAGAGTTGACCGGAACGTTGATTCTTGTGAACTGCATGGAGGTGCTAAGGGCAAGTGCTTTTTCCAAAATGGAGGAAGAAGAATAGACTATCAAGAGGTGTTTTTGGAAAATCTCTTGGGAAACTGTACTGCTATTTGTGTTTCAGTGATGCTTGCAGAGCAGAACAGAATGTAGTTCGTTTCACCTGAGGTGATGATGGGCCTAGCCCCACAGTTCTCAGCTACAGATCGCCAAATCTTGCTAATGGCTACTGAGTAAATACAAAGAGTGTGGGATTAAACTAATGAGGTCAACAAGAATGACTTGAATTCTATAGGGTAGTTTCTAAAAGAAGCTATTTCTGATTGCACTGACATCTAGGTGGACATCAGTTTTAAAAACAGAACTATGCTTAGATGAGTTCAGTCTGTGGGGCCTAGGTTTACATTGTTTTCAGAGTGGTATTAAAATCTGAATGTTTAATGCATTATTGTAGTTGGCCCTCAAAACCCTCAGCTCTAAGTCAATGGGTGCAGGGTAGCCTACAAAAAACTTTAGGATTCTTTCCTCCTCAACTGGGACAAAATTAATCTCATCTTCTCGGAAAATTCAACATTTATTTGCACCTGGAAAAATAGGTGCATGCTGCTCAGTCCTTCCAAAATGGCTCCTGGTGTCTTTTTTGAAGACTGGAAGAGAGACAAGCAATTTAATTGTCAAAAGTGATTGGTTTTGATTGGTTTGTTGACGTAAATCAACAGGGTTTGTGTAGGGTTTGGGTTTTTTTTAATTCCAGAAAATTTGTCTAGATTCTGCTGAGCGAAAATTCAGGAAGCCTTCTTGGTATACCTTGTCCATACCTCTGATCATTTGTTTATTCCTACTCTGTTGTTAAATAGGTAAATAGGGAAGAACAGCTTTGTAGGTACAAGAGCTGTAGACAGTTCACACCCACTCCACTTCGGTTGATTATTTTCTTCCCCCTTACTGTACGAAGAATTTGCGTGATGGCTATTATTTTCTCAAAAAAAATTAATGGTGGGCTGCTTTTTAGATTCATTTATTTATGGAAAAATTAATTATCATCAGTCATATTCTAAAAAAGGACCCTGCATAGATACTACCAATAAAAATATTTCAATTACTGAGTAGTTTATTACAAATGCAGAAAATACAGGTTGAATAATAACTACAGGCTAAACGTATTTATTTATTTTAATATGAGATTTTAAATACATTTTTAATGAAGTAGTAGATCTAAAAGGTTAAAGCCATTTTGAGCACCTTTGATCCTTCATTCAGAAATACCAGCAAACGCTCAAGACAACCAGCTGAAAACAAAACTGACATTCTGCTTTCACTTGCAGTTGACAAGACAAAGCCAAAATCTTTCAGGAGTACCACAGGGTAGCAGCATTTCAGTCCAGAACCTGTCATTCTGCTGTTGTCTTAGTTGATCTCTACTAAGGGGGGAGGTCTTAGTAATTTAACACTTAAGCATTTTTCTTCCCCTCCTCTTTCCTTCAACCTGCTTTCTTTTCTACTTCCATTAAGCTTTCCCAAAGTACTCATAGCTCAGGAGGGAGGCTGAGGAAAGATCACTTGCTCCAGAAATGGGTAAGCCCACTCACCAGAAGACCTGTTAGCATGAGGGCATGACTGAATTAACACGCATGCGGGTTATTTGGCTTTAGTGGGCTTGCTCCTAATTTGAAACAAAACCAGGAATTTGGCCCACAGAACAGTAATTGTCTTTGGTGTTCAAGGAAAGGTGGAAAAAAAGGAGTCAGATTATCAGAGCACCCTGTTGTTTCAGGTGCTGACACTTATTTTAGATCTTGCCCCATGCAGTTTTAAAAAGAGCTGTAGAGAAAATATAAAATAATGTTTTCTCGTTACCTGTATTTCTGTGCAGGGACCAACTATTTCTTCCTGCTTGCCCCCCAAAGGAGAGAAAGAATCTGCTGTCTTTCTTTTATGTGCTGTTGAGGATAGCTGAGCAGGATTTTGCGATGGTGGAAACAGGTCATGCACCATCTCCCTGCTTGAAATGGCAAGGAAATACTTTTTGCTTCCTAAAAGCTGAAATACTAGATCATATCATGAAGTAAATCTTTCATCTTCGCCACGTTCTCTCACCAGCTGATCTTAATGCATTCTGGCAGGCCATGTTCCCTTACTTATAGCTCTGTTAAGCCACTTTCCCCCCCTCCCCCTTTTGTCAGTCTGCCTGCAACAGCTAAGCAACTCTGGCTGCTTCTGAAGACAAGTCTCTGCTTCCATCCTTTTTTTTTTGCACATCTTAATTTCTTACCTTTAGTAAATGTGTGTTTGCTAAATGCCTCATTGAAAAAGAAATTGATAGGAGTAATAAGAACAGGAAAATACAGGACTGAACTACAATGCAAAAGAGTGGGAAAAGCTACCAGAAACACCCATTCCTATTTGTGTGATTCTACCAAATATGAAGGACAAGTTGTCTAAAGCCATGTCTGGAAGACAATCTACCCTGAGAAGGTGGTCAGTGATCAGGAGCTCGGGAGCAGAGGCTGCTGCTCCTAAGTCTCATGGCCAGGCCCTTTCATTGCTGTGAAACAACAGGAAAGTTGTTTCTGTCTTGAATGAGAGTTGAATTTGGCCCAGTAGATTTAGCAAATGTTGACTTAGTGAGTCAGTGTTCTCCTTAGTTTGCAGAATTATGCAAACAATCCCCCAAGTATATTTCTTTAAAAGGGAATTTATATCTGTCTGTAGTTGTGCTGTACTCCAGGGTCTTTGACTGTGGGCTTTGGTTGCTAATTGCACTCCCTGTTTTAAGCTTCGGCTCATATGAATGAAATGTGCACTCGTGCAATATTCTGTTTACTTTGGCAGCCCACAATGGATATATTAAAAAAGAAGGTATTAAACCCCCATATTATATTCAATGCTCTAACATTCAAAACCACAAAATGCCAGCTGAGAGTGGAAGCAGCTGCTCTCAGTGGCAACACACAGCTAGGAGCACATGGCTGTGGTAAACATGCTCTGTTCTTGACCTTTTCTCCTTTCCTCCCACCCTGTCAAGAGAGAACAGCTTTCCCATGAGCCTGCACACATACCTTCTTGGGTTTCTGCAAGCGGGATGAGATTAACTCCTCAGGAAGAGACGAGGAAAAATACCAGCCCCAGGTCCTTGCCTTAAATGACCCTCTGTTTCCAGGTTTCCCAATTTCTTTGTGTAGCCTGGGGAAAAGAGCTGTGTCAGCCAGTTCCATTTCCCTTTATATGTGTAGGCAGAAAAAAAACCCCTTTCACCATCCTTCTAACCTCTGAATAAGTATGTTAAGCAAATTAAAATCTTGTCAGCGCATGGATTGCTTTACAATTCCACCTACCTATGAAAGCTGAAAAAATGGTTCCCTTGGGTCCGCCTGCACCTGAATGGGGCAGACACCTCCCATAGTCGGCAGCAGCAAGGAAAAATCTAGCTGTCACTCATGCTAGACATGCTGGGATTTTTCAATAAAATCAGAAGCCACTCCTGCTGTTGCAGTGCAGAGGTATCTCAGCTCCATTTCATTTAATGGCACAGTGTGGTGACATATTTCTGAATAACAGGAGGGAAAAGGCAAATTATTCCACCACATAAATTCTAATCCTCCAGTTGGCTTTGGGGAAGGATTCAATTCCTTAGATTTCGCTTGCTTTTTTTTTGAAAACTGAGATTTAGGAATGGAAAAGACCTTACTTTTAAGTAAAGGGCTACTCCCAACGCAAATCTCCAGGCAATAGGTCAGACACCAAGCTGCAAGTTTAGGGGTGTTCTTCGTGAAATTGTCCAGAGAAGAAAGGGGAGGGAAGGCATCAGCCATCCTTCTTCCTACTGAGGCCAGAAAAATGGGGAGGGATGGGAAAGTGTCCCTCAATTTTTTTTGGGTGAAAATTACTGATTTTCACAAACTCTTCCTGTAAACTGAAGCTCTGTGAAAAGCAAACACTAAACAGCTCCAAAGGAGCAACTGTTTTTTATGGGGTTTTTTTTTTGTTTGTTTGGGTTTTTTTTGTTTTTGCACGGACTCGACTCTAAAGACTTACTCCTAAAGTATTTCTGGACTCAGTAAGTGATCTAGCCAACAGTGATCTACTTAATAATAAAGGTTCTTATTTAGAACTGCAGATTGTAATACCATGTTCCCAGCTAAACCCAGTGATTCTGCTTTTTCTTCAGCTGATAGCTTGTTCAGCTATGGACAGCTGAACCAAATCAGTATATGAAGCTTTGCTGTCTTGTTCTGTTTGTGTCATAGTTATGAAAATTACCCATGAAAAGACAAAACAATGGGAGTTAGGGGGTGGGATTTCCACCCCTCCTCTAAGAAGCACATACTGTGCACTAGTGTCAAACACCAACTGGTCTAATTCAGGTCTCTGGAGAAGTCCTAGAACAATTGAAGATGTTTAAAGAAAATGTTAGTCTATTATTGGTGATAAACATTATTCTTGATAGTTCTGCTGTCAATAAATGTCTACAGACACTATGGGATGGAGTTATTCAAATAATGTGATTATTCCTATTACAGAAAATGCCATTTTATATTTTTGCCAATGCTTGTATATATAATCTATTTTTTTTAACTTACAGTATATTTTTGAAAAAAATAAAGGAAAATGATATCCACTGAACTCTTGCATGGATTTTGTTTTTGTAAGATGAAACAGAAGAGGGAGATGGCCATGGGGTGAAAGATCATGGTTCTGTTAATACCAGGGAAATGAACAATGCCTTTATGCATTTTTTTCTTTGTTTAAAAATCCTGTGTTAAAAAGATGAATGTACACTCCTTTTAACATGTTCATAAGCAAAAGTAATTTGCTTATATTGCTTTCAGAAACAGAATGAACTCACTCTTGAGAAGAGGGCTGTCTGTGGAGCCGGCTGGGGAAGCCAGGCCTCCTCACAAGAACACGCTCTAGAATTTTCTCCTTGTTTGTCTGTTAGAGAATCTTGAAAGTAAGTTTGGAAAGGTGAATCTTTGGTTGACAAGGTCAGTAAAAACTAACACAAGCATCTGAACCTTCAGTAGAACAAAATAACACTGGTGATTGTTTTTAACTGAACATTTA